ACAGCCCGGCAGATCTATTCCCCTAATAAAGGCTTGTTGTGGCCTGGTCTGGTCTTGGTCTTCGGCCCTTTTACCTGACATAAATAAAACCAGGACAAACAACAGTAAGGAAACCAAAACTCACAAATGAGAATGCTATAATGTGCTGCAAATATCCCACAGATGAGATGTGTAACAATCCATTTTCTAACTAAACACACGTTGTGACAGAATGTCAGGAGCTATAAATAATTTCCCCTGTACAGTAAAACTTCACATTTCAATCTAATATTTGCAACACTAACACCAAAATTCCTGAGAATTCATAAATATGAGCCTCAATAAGACACTCCTCAGCATTAACTTGAAAACAAAAACAAAATAAACACCATATTTCTGCACTTTTCCCTGAGGAGTATAATTATACTAAGTATACTAAGTCTTCCCAATATTGCTTTTGATACTATTAGGCAATTCTGAGTGTTCACCTCAAAGTCTAGGGGAGACAGTTCATTTGGAGCATCCTACAGAACACAGTGAGCCAGCCAGGTGTGTAAAGATGTTTTCCTTGAAATCAAAGTCGCCCTCCTTTTACTACAGGTCATCAAGTTCAAGACTGTAGAAAGAGCTAATCTCATAAGTGATGAGTCTTGAAAATGACAACAGAAATACAATGCATTTCCAAACAAGAAATTAAACTTTGGGGTGACCAATAGGGTACATGCAAATCAGTAATATGAATTATGAAAATCTATACATGAGAATAAACAGAAAAAGCAGACACTTTTCACACACACACACAGAACTATCATTTCCTCTTTGTGTGGCAAATCCACAAAGAAGTGCTTAATAAACCTCAGATGTTTAAAGCCTTGGTGTTCATAAACTCAAGATTTACAAGATCACAAAGCACAGTGAGTTAAAGAATTTAACAAACTAGGTCAGAAATACCCAGCTAACCTCAAAAGCTTTAGAGACAAAGCATTTTGTCTGGTGCTGGAATGTTGGCAAACCCAACATACAGTGTTTCCTCTACCAGAGGGTCATCTACTGCACAATCATTTCCGACACTCTGTGGGCAACGGTTTTATGAAATCTGGGATCATATGTGAAGAGAAGGGAATGCTACAGATAACCGACATGATAGCAGAACTGGGGAGCGGAAAGTGACTGATTCACCTAGAGGAGTTTGTGTACTCGGCATTAGGCTTAACTGGATGGATCAGACATATAACCTCCTGTTACATACAAGGGCTAAAGAACAAGTGGTCTCATTAAACCAGTACTCACTGTGTCAGAACTGGATGCCTTATCACTAAAGCGGCACAGCTTACATATTACCTGCTTCATCCCACACTGTCCAGGGAGCCAACCCAGTGCTCTGAACATGACACACCGGGGTCAGGACATACTTTCATTAATTACATTGCAGAGATTATCAGGGAAATAAAGGATATAGCAAGAGACGCATTTTTGTTTATTTTTAAGATTAAGACAGCCAAATTCTAATGTATCATTAAAGTACAGTACAAGTCTCATCAACTAGGCACTGCAGGAGTTTTTATAACTTCTGATAATATACAGGCACGTTAGCAATATATGACATTTCCAGCTAAGTCCTATGAAAAGATCCCAAAGAGGAGATATGAGGTAAATGACAAAACTGGAAAAAATAACAGCGAATTTGCATCCCCACATGCTAATGTGCACACACCCGTGTCTGACACAGCACGTGCTCCTCTCTGGTTCTACCTGAGACTTGTGCAGACCCAGCAAGTAGACCTGAAGCCTCTCATGGCAGATGGGAAAGACGCTGCTGAAGAAGGACATGGGAAAGAGGTTCTTTCTGCACTGTATCTTCATTCATCAGCAAGACAATGACCTTTAATTTTGCATCTGGCAAACTACAATGAAGTTCTACATAATGTATCACAATAAATTACTCTAAATCTATATTTTTGGAGGCAGGAGATACAAGTAAAGTCCCTAACCAGGATTTAAGAAACTTAAGAGTTTTGAATCTGATTAAATCACTTTCCAAGCAAGAAAATGTACCTTGTGATGTTGTGAAGACTGAAGACCCATCGCAAGAGACTGCTATCCCTGTAACTGCCCTGTTTAAAGAAAAATTTTATAAATTACTATCAGCCATATGGTGGGACACCTGGTTTATGTCTTTGATTTATTTTAACAAGTTTCCTTAACATATTTCTGACAATTTGAAAATGCTTCTCTTTCAATCCTAGCTTATCTGAAAATCATCTAAATGACTAAACCTCTTCTTTTTGATCATTCTGCTGTCTTCATTACTAAATCTAATTTTTCTATCGTCTGTCAATCATACAAACATCAAGTTCTAGCATTTCCTCTCAGAAGTTACTCAAGGGTCATTCATTACATGAAGGAATCTGGAGGTTCCTTCCTGTCTTCACTATCTTGGATTTTATGCTGCTTCACATCCTATGTGCCATTTGGAGAAATTGTGACGAGAAAAGCCAATGCTAAAACAATGAACATGGCAGAACTAGCTGCTTCATTTGTGATGTGAAGCCATGTGCCTGAGGTAAAGGCAGGCACCCCGCACGTCCAGGTCCTCTTATGAGCCTGGGTATACATAATCACTGAACCATCAGGCTATCGATGGCCATGGGGCAGAACAGGGACCTGGCCTCTGGGTCTGGGTTTTCTTTCTGTACCAGCAGGATGGGCCAGGCTAGACCAGCTCTTCTCAGACCACCAGTGGACATGAACACCCTTAGCGGAGAGGACAGGGGAAACATACATCTCCTCTGAGCCCAACAACAAGCCCAGATTCTTTGATGTATAGATATTATTTTTAAAATTCATGTGAATTTTGCAATGCAAAATTTTCTGCCTCCCTCCTCCCTGCATTTTTCCTGCAAGTTCAGTAAATTCAATACTTGAGGACAGACTATACTTCTCCCATAGCTTCAGACCATCAAAGACTCCAGGGGCAGTTTGAGAGGCCCAAAACTACTTGCCAACTAGAGACCCCATCTCATATTCTAGAATGACAGCACAATCACGGGGGCCAACACAAATCATTCTGTGTCAAACTTTCCCTTGCTACATCAACTTCACAGAGCAGATCACTTACAGATATTTTAGAGGGATAAAAAACAATACTGAAAGGAAACTTTTCCCTCACGACTCAGTCTAAAACAGTTTAATCCCATGGCAAGACCCTAACTTTTGCAAAGATCATTGGCTGCAGAGAATCACAGATTATTCTTACTCTTTGTGGATTTTATACTGCTCATATAACTTCAGCTTGGTGATGTTATTCCACGCCAGCGTTTTGCTTTCTTCAGTCAAGTCTTCAAAGGACTCTTCACCTGGAGAAACTATATTAAATTGTTGGGAAGTGAAAATTTCTGATAGACAAGTGCATCAGATTCATAATGTTTTTAATAAAATCAACCAAGAAAACAAAATAAAATGTAACTGCTTTCAAATGTACTTGTTAGCACCGTAACAGTCAAGGAAGACATCACACAGAGAAAGATAAAGAAGTATCTTCAAATGTCAGTCTTACCTGTATTTGCAAAGTCTGTATTTGACCACTCAAGAATTTCAGGAAATCCAAGACTGAGTAACCATTTCCTCATCAACAATCTTTGCAAAAACCTGACAGTTGCCTAAGAATGTTGCAAGTTGGGTTTTTTTTGCTTTTTTTTTTTGGTTTTGAGGTAGAAAAAAATCAACCCAAGGGTTTCTGGATAAAAACAATGTTTTCACTTCTGCTTTAAGAAAAGCTGAAGCAATTACGCTTTTAAAATGATCATATGACTGTGGTTATGGCTGGTGACTAAGAGGAGCATGGGATGAAACAGTATCACAAGATAATCCCATGGCTTGTATGTCTGAACTTTATGAAACACACAGCATGTCCTGAAGTATTCTAAGCTAGCCCTGGGCCTAGTAACTGAAGCTATTCCTCCACACTGAAGACAGCTACGTGTGCCTAAATAGCCCAGCTCAGGTAGTAGACAAGACAGGTAGTAGAATTAGAGATAAAAACAAATGCATTGATTTTGCTGCCAGCCTTGGCCTATGGTATCATACACCTCCTGGAGGGAAGAGGGGTTGTAGGCTTGAGGCTGTTTTACATGAGATACAAAACACAGAAAATCAGATGAAGGTGAGCATTTTCCTTCCTTTCCAAATTCTGGATGCAAGAATTACTTCAAGTTAATTTTAGTACCAAGCATATGACCGGCACAAAACAGATGTTCTGTATACATTTACCAAATTTTATATAAGAAAACAGACTTAAAGAAAACAGAGCAGTGTGAAGCCAAGATATCAGTATGTCGGTTTTGCAGAGAACTGGGGACAGACGTCATTTCTTGGGAAAGAGGAGGGTGGACAGCAACTTTTAAAGCATCCATGGCCAGGGATATAAGTATGAAAAGGAGATCTGCTAAGAATTTAGTAAAAGACAGGAAAAAAGACGGGAACTGTAGTGTGGGAAAAGTCAAAGTCAGGACTCAGTAAGTCAAATTAACAAAAAATAAGTTATTTGATTTTTCTTAAATAGCTACAAAAAAAACCCACCTAGCAGCAAAGCAGTTTATTTTCATCTCATCTCAAAAATATTTAACCACCAAAGAGAAACAAAAAGGGCTCACATTTGTCTTCTTTACAAACCTTACCTGGGGACTCTGCTATAGAAGCATTATAACTGGAGGTCTGGGACATACTTTTAAACTTGGAGGTGATCTTTTGAGGATGTGGTGTTACAAACAGCTGTTTAGGTGTCTGCCCAAATTCTAAGATCTGGGTTAGCATGGCCACTTTCTCATCAGGATCTTCAATGCTTTAGGACAGAACATAAGTAGTGCAGTGAACCACAGGGTCAAGTTTCCAGAGAGCACATGTTTCAAACAATGCAAATCAATGGGAAGGATTAACACTCAAATAATGGTATCAACTATAGGCCAGACTATCTAAACCTCAAGATAGACCTTCAGAATATTTTCTGATTATCAGTAACCAACAATGTGGTGAACGTAACATAAAATTCATTAAAAAAATTTCTATACCTTAACATTCTCAAATAATTTTATTAACAATTTAGATAGAGGTATTTTATAACTCACATAGAAACGCTATGTAGACAATAAATACCTGTTTAAATCTACACCTCCTTCATAGGTCAGGGGATGAAATACTGAAAGAGAGATATAAACACTATTGAAAGATGTTTTAGTTATAATATACACCCTATTTAGAATTTAAACAACTCATCAAGTTATAACTGTTCAAAAAAAACTGATCACATTTTGCAAACCAGACTAATACTCAAACTGAGTAAATATTAGCTTTCATCATTATCTTTTGATGAACAAAAGTCTACCTGGCAGATTAGATGACCTGTCATCTGGGTGTATTTCTCAGACAGGGTTATTTCCTCCTTGGGGGAAGCATAAGTCACAGTACTGAGCTGACTCTGACTGCCATGTGAGGAATGAGATCTAAATTTCCAGCTCAAGTTCCTTATTACCGACCCCAAAGAACTTGGAGGCAAATCAGCACTGACGCTGAAGCTGAGGAGAAGGTATTTTGCTGCTGCTTCTCTTCTGCTGAACTAAAAAGAAACCCTGGGGCCCTTCACAGAAATTGAAAATTGAGGTTACTGTTCTATCATATTTTGATTGAGTTTTAGTTGAAGTTATTCAATGAGATGGAAAGCATAGTCAACCCTCTGTATCAGTGGGTTCTGCATCTGTGGATCCAACCAATGGTATATATTGGGATAAAATGTAACTATACCAAACAGGTATAAACTGTTTTATTTCATTACTCTCTAAACAATATAGTACAACAGCTATTTATGCAGCATTTACATGAGATGTTATAAGTAATCAAGAGATGATTTTAAATAGACAGGAGGATATGTGTAGTTTTTAGGCAAATACTACACTATTTTATATAAGGGACTGAACATCTACAAATTTTAGTATCCACAGAAGGTCCTAGAACAATCCCTTGCAGATACTGAGAGATGACTATGTATACTAAGATCTGAAGACTTTAGAAAAGACCTCTTGGGAGCATGGTGTGGTAGATAACAGGCAAAAGTCATTCCTCCTCTGTTACTTCACATCTACCACAGGGCCAGACAGCCAATGGGCAGTTTTCCGACATAAGATGCTTCTTCAAAAGAAATAAGCTTGACTGCTCTGGCTTTATACTTTTGTTTATTTGCTTGCTTTCATTCTCATTAAGTACTAATTGAAATTTCAGTGACTACTATATACCATTATGGGCCCCAACAGCATCATTCCCTTTCTGCTTGTAGCCAAATACGAGATCGATCCATTCATGAAGATGCTGTGATACATAAGTGCTTTCCAGTGCATCCTTGCTCTTCTGGAGAAAGTCCTCAGCACCTAGAAGATTAGATTCAATCACAACACCATGCAGTCTCCATTTTATTTTCTCCCACTTCTTTTGACTATCAAAATGTAGATAGACATTTCATAGCAGATCTCTCAAATACACATTAATTTTTTTTGCATCATAGACTCAGGGTACGTCTGATTTGGAATAGAGTGATACTGCTTCATTTAGACAGACAATAATATCATTACTTTAAAAAAATCTAAGCAACAAAACAATGATACTGAAACTGCACTATTGGGTGAAGAATGTATATAACAAGATACCTGTAAGACGGTACTCACTTGAGGCCCACAGGGGAAGCTCAACATCATCAACCATCTGCCCTCCTTGTCTCTTTCCCAAATTCAACTTCAGACTATTGACTAAAAAGCTGACATCATCACCATAAAACTCTGGAATCAACTGAAAGTTTTAGGGGGGAACAAAACCAAGCAACATTTTAAAAAGCAGTTAAAAAAATCACTGGCCCTATGAATCATTAATTTCATCAATTGCTTACTTCTTTAAAATCTGTTGCACCATCCAAACAGTTTTTCCAGGTTTCTGCAATACTAAATGGGAAAAAAATTCACATGTTAAATCTAAACTGCAGAATAGTAGCAGCACTTCCTGTGCATCCACCTACTGTTCTATGACTTTCCCCTTATTGATCCATTTTCTCATCTACCCTGAATTCACAGCATCCACGTGAACAGCATCCACGTGCCTCTAGGGAGAGAGACGACTGGGGCACAGGGAGCTGATGCAACTGCTTAGGGTCACAGAGGGGAAAAGGGTGGAACCCAACTGCACGGCATTAGGCACCACACACACTGCCCGGATACTGACAGAGAGCACACCTCTTTAACAGTCCATGTAAAAGGAGTGTAGAGCTCGGAAATCATTCAGAAATACACAGACCAAAACAACTATTATCATCCTAGTTTGGTTAGATGACATGTGAACTTTCCTCTATATATGTATATAAAGAAAAACTACAGATATATAGTTTTGTTTTGTTTTGTTTTGGGTAAGGAAATAGTATGTACACACACAGCTAAATAGGAAGTTATATTCAATCCATAGAAGAATTATGAAGAATAATAAGATGCTGGAAACAATATAAATGCTAAATAGAAAACAGTTGAAATAAACTATGGCATATGTTAAAATGTGATACAGTAAGGGCCCGGGGATTTGGGTCAGTGGTTCTACCACCTGCCTTACAAGCGCAAGGTCCCAAGTTCGATCCCCAGTACCAAAAAAAAAAAAAT